TGTGTGTGTGTGTGTGTGTGTGTGTGTGTGTGTGTGTGTGTGTGTGTTTATTGCTATATGAGTTTGAACTGGATGTTAAATGTCTTGTTTTTTTCTTACTTGTTATCCATCTCCCCCTCTCTTTTCTTTTCCAGGTTCCAGGTGATTTAAGCCAGACGTCGGATGACCCCAGCCTGTCAGATTTTGAGACGTAAGAATATTTCTCTTTTATCTCTCCTCCATTACTCTCTCCCCCTCACTTTGTCCTCCTCCAACCTTCCCTCTTTTCATACCTCTTTTTTTGTTTTACTCCTGCAGTTTCTCTTGTTAAGCACAACGTATTATCCATGTAAAATATCACTTCCACCAGCGTAATTGTGTAAGTTATTCTTCCTCGAGTTTACCTGTGAACAAAGCTCAAACACTGTTTGATTTCATGCATTCATTCAGTTGTTCCACACTCAGATCATGACCAAATTGCATTTTTAAGGAGTTTTGCCAGAGTGAGCTGTAATTTGCTGGAGCTGTCCAAGCACAGCGCAAAGACACACTGTTGCTGTCTTAGTGATAATGATGATTATGATGATAATGGCGACGGCAGTAAGGACGGTTTGTTGTTTGTGTCACTCAGGGCTCATCGCGCTCTCATCAACGTGTGGATCCCCTCCGTGTTCCTGCAGGGCAGAGCTGCCAACGCCTACCACGTCTACCAGGTACACTCACACACTTAATATCTGCGTCCTCTAATTACCGGGCTAAACTAGCAAGTCATCACATAAGGACACATTGCTATGCTTGCTGGTGGTGTTTGTGGGAAACGATTCTAACGTGACTTAAAAACTGATGGAAAAAAAAAAAGACAGAGCAGCAGCGAAGGTTTTTTTTTGCGATCAATTTGTTTGAGTTAAACCAAACAACAGAGGGATGAAGTTACAAGTTCATTAAGCCAATGAGGGAACAGATGAGCAAGCTCTGAAATAATTAAACCTTAAAGTTTGCATTAATACCCCATCATGAGTGTTCATTAGCATTATTGCACTCGGGGCCTTGTTTCCCTACTTGACTGCTCAAGTGGTAAAACAGAACACTTTCCTGGACAGGGAAGGGGCAGGTCATCCCTTCGCCATAGCAGCCTTTTGGAATCAAGCGATTGGCACAAACCTGGTTAAGCCATGCTAGCGGTGTAGCTCAAAGGGGTGGGAATGCTTGTCTGTCAGTCGGTTCACCACTTAGGTCAAGACTGAAATACCTCAAAAACCTTTTGAGGAAATTTGCTGCAGATATCCACGGTGCCCAAAGGACAAATGCTAACGAGGCCAAAGTTTTCCATCTATGAGTGAAATATCTCGACATCTATTAGATTGGTTGTCATAACAATGATTTTTGTCGTTGCCTTTCTTTTCCTCTTGCGTCAGTTTGACATACGTTGGTTTTGTGGAGTGATTTGTCTCGTAGACTATTGGATTAATGGGCTGTAGACTACTAATCCAGTCTGTAATACATGCCTATCATGTGAACAAAGGGAACAGAACTTTGTCAGGCGAAGAAACGGGCTGTTCGAACTTTATGCCATGTTCAAGTGCCAAGAAAAGAAAATAACCAAAAACTTTTCACTGATCTTTTCCATGACAGAAGAATAAGCTTAAAGTTACAGTCCCATTTATTTGTGTTGTCCACCCTCCCAACAAAGCTGTGTGTGCCCTGTTATTGATCGGTACCTCGACAAAACATTTCTGGACCTAAATCAATCCATAAACAGTGACTCCACTTCCCACTACAGTATGTGCCACTTTGTAATCAAGTCTTAGATTGCTGTGAACTTGTTGTATTCACAGCAATGATAACAGCACAGCTCCACTTGTGCCAGACACTTATCTAACTCAGGTGAGTTGGGAACTGAACTGGAGAGCAGCCTCAACAAATCAAATCTCTGCTTCTTGTTGTGTCTGTCAAGTTATCGAGCAAAGTAGACAACAGCGGCTCGTTCCATCGGTGACTGTTTTACTGTTTCTGTCACATTAACGAGGTCTTATACTCCAGCTGCCTCACCGCAACCGTCCCTCGGTCCCCCCCCCCTGTGAGACAGAAACACACGCACACGCGCGCACACACACACACACACACACACACACACACACACACACACACACACACACACACACACATTCGGTGTCGTTTGTGAGACAGACAGGGAAGCACACTCACAGGCAAACTGAAGCACTGACATAAATGGATATAGGGGTGCAAACACAAATATAATATTCACTTGGTGAAATACACAGACACAAGAATACACACACACACACACACACTCACACAGATGCATGCAGAAACACATGCAAGCGCAGGTACCGTAGATACACTTCGTCATGCCGTACAAAACCACTTGACAGAATAACACACACACACACACACACTGTGCTGTTATCTGCTCTGTAGCCAGGAGGTACAGCTGTAACGTCATTCAGGGGAAACCATATGGGACGGTAAGAGACAGGTGACACATCCCCAGCTCTGACTGATAGTCAGGACTAGCTGGCTAGCGAGCCCAGCCCTTATACATAATAGATGTAAAATTCACAACTCGGGGCTCGAGCTGAGAGCTGTCTGGCGGCTTTTTTTTCTGTGGAGTTATCTCCGTCCTTTGGACAGGACAGGGGCGCAACAATGACAAATGAGATGCATTGTTTCAATCCCTCTCGTTCCCGTCACCTCCATCTTCAGACTCCAGTGTTCGGTGTTCTTTGTTGGAGGGCAGACACTTTGATAAATATGTCCGGGCATTTACCCAACACGTGTGAAGAAAGCGATTTTCGAACTTTCTGGCGTCGGTGGCGGTAAAGCGCTCATGCATATAAGGCAGCTCACTTTAATACTACAGCACTGTGTTTGGACTTGCTCCTTGCAATTTTGGGGTTTATTCATGCTGCAGGACTTGCGGGGAAAATACATGGTAATGGTGCCGTCATTAAAGCAGAGTTTCGGAGGGTTCATTACGGAGTGATGTTGCCTCTCATGTATTACCATTACATTTGATTTTACTGAAAGGTAAATACCCACCGATCTTTGGTCATTTAACAGCTATTTTAGTCTTAAACACTTACTCCTGTCAGGATGCAAACATGCGTCACCTGCTCTGTGATAAATATGAGTCATGATGCGTTTCTTAAGTTGTGCCTCTTTTTCCTGATCCAAATAAAGATGGAAGCCAGATATTGCATATCTTGAGGTGAACCAACATTAGTTATTTTGATAACTAATTCCAATATTTTATATTTTTATACCAAATAACTAATATTGTGATCATTTCTTTTAGAAAAAGAGCAGGGATGGGTAGAACAGACATTGAGAATTCTTGATTTACCTTCAGTACGTGTTGTTCACTGACAAATATTGCCAAGTATTTTTTCTTTTGTCAGTCAAGGTGATGCTTAGATCTATGACTCGAATGTAATGGCAATACATGAAGGCACAACCTGGCACTCATCTCCAACATTTACTGTCAAACTATAATAGAAACCAGTGTCTTCTTGAGGGTTGATGGGTAATGTTAAACCTGAGGAAATCACACACAAAAGAATTAGATATGATAACAGTTTGGTTAAAAGTACGAACACGTTGAGCGTGCTTATATCTGCCATGCTTTGGGCAATAATCGGTGTCCACATGCAGTTTGACATTCTTGGACTGACTCCAGCATCGAACCTGAACATTTTCCATGTGTTACACCGATTTAGCCTAATTTCTCCCTCTCAATAACGGTCTGTGAGACTGCTGTCCAGCCCTGGAGCTAGTACAAAGCGCAGCCCATCTGGTGTATTGGATACTTCCCTAACCCAGAGCTATATTCGTCTAATGGCTCCCTATGGAAACAGCTTTTGTTCTTCGACAGGCTAATGGATGGCCAAGGTTACTGGAGTCATTGTTGTTAAGGTGAGATTGTTATGGTGATTGAACACCGAGCCAACAGTCTTAAAGACCGGAGAGTATCGTGAGGAGGAGTCAGGGGTATCTGTAAAATACCCTCAAGTGGGTTCATAGACTTTCTTTTCTAAGTGTTTTTTTCTGATTCTTGCACACACACACACACACACACACACACATGCATATGCTTGCAAAATTGAACCAATGATGAGAGCAATGAGCCATAGCCAGAGCCAGAGAGGGTTTAGGGAGGGTCGGGGAGTGAATGGGATTTTAGGAGGAAGGTCACAGCAACCTTGTGGTTTAAAATAAGCACACTAACAGCTCTGTGCTGCTGCTAAACTCGCCTAAAGAGAGCAACAAAGACTGATCCCAAAAACCACCTCTTGCATTGTGTGTCCCTGAATGTCTGCGTCTCCCTCCCTCCCTCCATCTGCACTTCTTTTTCAGCCTCCCTATCCGTCTCCCTCCCTTTGCCAGATTGCGCGGCATTATGGCGCCGCTAAAACCGCTCGTACTCCATTTTCCCCTCTTCTTCAGAGCCACTTTCCTCTCCGAGCTTTCTGAAATGACTTCCATCTAAAGCTCAGTAAGGCCTGTGGGATGGATGACGAGAGACGGGCCCGCGATGGAGAGCGAGAGACTGATGGATTTGCTCCATTATCAGTCGGGCTTTGCTCTTTGTGGCACGTCGTGCCTCCGGGCCTTCATCCCTCCATCCCTCCCTGTGCCACTTCTCCCCTTCTGAACTCGTAATGAGAGAATTATACCGGCCGTGGCAAATCGGTGTCTCCCTCCCACACAATACCAACAATAGAAGCTATCACTAGAGGAGCGAAGGGAAGCGTCCTTAGCGCGCCGTCAACAAACACACGGACTCATTTGGTGTGTGCAGGAGTGTCTGTGTTTTCATTATCTGCGTATTTTAGGCTGGCATTGTGCTTTGAAAAGAGCATCAGAAGCTGATGCGAATATTGGGGGGGGGGGGGGGGG